TATTAAGCAAAAGCAATTTCCTGTGTGCACTCTTATGATCACTGAAAATGTGACACCAAGCTGTGCATAACAATAGATATTTTAAAAACCATATTACCGTCTCTAGCTCTCCAGCTCTCTCTTACACACACAAACACGCACACTTGCAGTGAAAACAAATAGGGTGTAGAATAGGCTAAAGGAGCTGCAGACATTAAGGGATTAACAAAATAAATAAAAAAAAACATCTGTGTGTGATCCCGCTGAAAACAGTTTTAAACTGTGAGTGTGTGTGTGCCTTATGAATCTTTTATATTTTCTGATGTGTGTCTTGGGAACACAGACATGATAGGAGGTTTTCAGATGCATCATTACACCAGTATAGTAAACACACATAAATAGACTCGCGCATACTTCATCACATTTACTGCTGCATCATAACAAAAGCATAAATTGGTGAGTCTGTGCAGTTGTGCTAAAGAGGAGTAATGATGCCACAAGTGCTTTGTTTAGCTGTTTCCACTGCAAATATTAATGCCTTTTCACACCGCTCCTGTATGGATGGTCATAAGGAATTATCACTGACATGAATACCAACATACAGAGCACTACACACTGAACAAAAGCAGTATAAATGTCAAAGCGCAGTATGTAGAAACATGCCGAGCTGAACCCAGGAGTCATATATTATTCATTTTTGACTGAAACCCCCATATTCACAAGAGAGTACATTTCTGTTTGTGTGTCTGTGTTTTTAACACACACTGCTCAGTGAAGCCTCAGGAGGCTGAGGGGAGAAACCGGTGGCCCACATGCTGTCCCAAAGGTACTCCATCATCACTTTCTCTCTTCCTCTCCCTCCTTCTGTTTACCAGTAAGCCTCTATTAATGCCTACACTGTAGTATGAACAGCCTCTTGCTTTGGTAAATCCCCATTCACTTTTTCTATAGTAGAGCACTTTCACCGTTTCCACCCGTCTTCCTACAGCAGAATGAGTCATCAAATTATACAGCACATTTGCTTTTATGACAATAACTTAGAAGTTATTCACCAGCCCAAACTTTTTAGAGGTGTCTGTGTGTGTGTGTGTGTGTGTATTTTGCGAACTTCACAAAACAAACTTGAGTGACTTTTAATGATTCTGTACAAATTTTTGCTTTACAAGCTTTAGCTAAAATGTGCCAAAACAGATATTAAACCACAAAAATCTCCACCTCCTACCTGCAGGAGCTGGAGTCGGTTTC